CTTCATTTTCAAGATTGTTTTGGTTATTCAGGATTCCTTAAGTTTCCGTATGAATTTTAGGATGGATTTTTCTATTTCTGCAAAAACATCATTGAGATTTTGGTAGGGATTGCATTGAATTTGTAGATCACTTTGGGTTGTATTGACATCTTAGTAAATTTAAGTCTTATAGTCCATGGACATAGGATGTTTTTCTATTTATTTGTGTCTTTAATTTCTTTCAGCAATGTTTTATAATTTTTAGTGTATAAATCTTTTGTCTTAACTGTTGTTTAGTCTTAACTATTCTTTTTGAAGCTATTGTAAGTAGAGTTGTTTTCTTAACTTCCTTTTTTAGATTGTTCATTGTAAATATATAGAAATGCAACTGATTTTTAAATATTCATTTTGCATCCTTCATTTTGCCAAATTCATTTATTAGTTCTAACAGTTTTCTTTGGTAGAGTATTTAGGGTTTTATACATATAAACTCGTGTTGTCTGTGCCCAGAAATCATTTTACTTCTTCCTCTCCAATTTGGATGCTGTTTCTTTTTCTTGCCTAATTGCTCTGGTTAAAACTTGTAGTATTATGCTGAATAAAAGTGGTGACAGTGGGCATCCTTGTCTTGTTCCTGAGGGAAAGCTTTCAGTCTTTTACCGTTGAGTATAATGTTAACTGTGGGTTTTCATATATGGCCCTTATTATGTTGAGATAGTTTCCTCCTATTCCTAGTTTGTTGGGTGTTTTTTCTTTTATCATGAATGTAATTTTGCATTTTTTAAAAGATTTTATTTATTTATTTGACAAACAGAGAAACAGTGAGAGAGTGAACACAAGCCGGGGGAGGGGCAGAGGGAGAAGCAGACTCCCTGCTGAGCAGGGAGCCCGATGTGGGGCAATTTTGCATTTTTAATAATCAGAAATTTTAACACACAAAAAAAATCAAGATTTCTACCCCCATTTAAAAAATCTTAAAATCTTTTAACACTGAATTTACATTTCCTTATGTTCTCTGAAGCTGAATCAGCAGCTATTCTCCTATACAGTATGTTCTTCAGACATAATCACCATCTAGACTTTTCCACTCATTTTACATATCTAGAAGGATTTACTTTTTGACCTCTGTTATCATAATAGCAAACATTCATATAGTGCTTATTGGTGCCTGACACTGTCCTAAGCCTTTTGCATGTATTAATGAATTTAATCCATACAATAGCCCTGTGTAGTAATTATTATCACCTTACCTGATAAAGAATCTAAAGCACAGAGCAAGTAAGTGGTGAAGTGAACAAATGTGGTACTAGAGTAGTAAATGGTAATGAACAAAGAACTGATTGGGGAAAAACAGACAGCTGTGCTTATGGTTGGTGCCTTTCATTTTATACATAATTTGAAGACTAAGGCAAGTGCTTATACTTTGTGATAGCAAGTTGCCTCACTTATTTCAGGATATGTGGTTATGTGCCAGGTACTTGAGGCTGATAAAACTCTGAAAGCTCCTAAAATGGGTGTTACTCTGTGCCTTCCTGTATGGGTATACAAACCAAATCTTAGTTGTTTAGGCCAAAGTGCTGCAAGTACTGAGCTTTATGTTTGATTACAAGAGTTAAGTTTTAGTGGTGCTGATGGGAGAAGCAAGTATTTCCACAATGGTAATCAGATACTCTAGTAACTTCTTTGGGCTTTGAGGGATCTGAATTGTTTTCTAGGATTAGAAAATGGACCTTTTTACTTACATAAAAGCTGTGTGTATATGGAAACTCAGAACAAAATACATTAAAAAATCTTTTCTGGGGCGCCTGGGTGGCTCAGTCGGTTAAGCGGCTGCCTTTGGCTCAGGTCATGATCCCAGAGTTCTGGGATCAAGCCCCGCGTCAGGCTCCTTGCTCAGCAGAGAGCCTGCTTCTCCCTCTCCCTCTGCCTGCCGCTCCCCCTGCTTGTGCTCTCTCTCTCTGTCAAATAAATGAATAAAATCTCTAAAAAAAAATCTTTTCTGGTACTTCTTTCTATAGGAACAGCAAGACATTACACTTTATTTTTTAGGTTGAAAGAACATTTCAGCTACTTTGTTCTGTCAACATGTCATTTTCAAAAGAAGCGCTTGTCTAATATAAAAAAAATTGAAAAACAATATGAATCTTAACTGAGGTTTCTTTGAGAGGTACCTGTAGTATACATGTCCTTTTTTCACCTGCCCATCACTATATGGTTTCTTCTGATAACAGAACCTTGATTTGCCTTTGGAGAATGAGCTCTCCCACATTCTTTGTTCCCAGACTAAGGCATATGGTTGGTGTATGATCCAGAATTTGCTAATGAGACATAATCCCAAGATTTTATTGGAACTACATGGAAGTAAATGCTCTTTTTCTACTGGAATGGTCAGCTATAAGGATGGCATAAATTGAACACTGGTGAAAGGTGGGCAGGTGGGAAGAAATCACTAAATGAGAATAAACTCTTTGATGTCAAAGTGAATAGAGACCATACCCTGATGACATTGTTTGTACTTTGGATCCAGCCATACCTGAAGCTATCTATGCAGATTTGGATTTTTCAATTATTAAGCTACAAATATTCCTTTTCTTAAGTCAGTTTGAGTTTGAGTTTTTGACACTTGCAAGAAAAAATCCCTCAATGAACAAAAGAATTCCATTTATTACCTGTAACAAACATCTAAAAATCCTTTCCCTTGTTTCTCAGTATCTCTCAGTGTCATTCAGAACGGGAGCTATGCTAACTCCCTAGTCTTACTCAAATCTCTCCGAAATCTTCTCTCCTAAACTTGGCTCACTCTCCATCTTTGTTTTTCTCACTTCCAGACTCAAAACTTTTCTGGCTCTCTTCCCCCCACCCCTTCTTCTGAGAGAAACATAAAATCTGGCTGAGTTTTGTAGCCTTCTGAGGCTCCTCTGCTTCTGTACCTCTTTTCCTTATCTAGATCAGTGCAATTAATGCCCAGGCTGTTTTCTGAACAACAAAGGAGCCTTTCTCTTCAAAAGGGTGAAAGACTGAAAATACACGTTAAATTTTCTGTTCTGGTGTCATTTGTATTCAGTACAAATAGTGTGTTTGCTTGAATGTTAATTCTGTTTGCAAACAGCTACTCCTGGGGTTCCCTTTGGCTAAGTTTTGCTACAATAGTGCCTTGTTTTGCTTTGTCTGTGTGTTTTTTGAAGGCCAGTGGGGAAAGAAACTAGTTAAACCCATTTGATTGTTTTTACAAGCCAGAGAACGGGTCAGGTCCAAGCTGATACAGAGTGCTAGGGGCAAGGAAATGATGTTACTCTATTGCCATTTATACCCCCCGCTTTGGGAATATTCTTTGGGTTTTCTACAGAAACAGCCAGACTCTCATCGACAACTGCTTCACTCAGCAACTCCTTCATAAACACATTTTTCAGACACTGTGCCCAGGGCTCTTTTAAGTGTCCTAAGAATATTGACTCATTCAAAAGCAGCCCAGCTGCAGTTGGGAAAGCACCAGCACTTGCTCCATAAAGATCTAGATTGTCTGTTTACATCAAGAGTCATCCAAAAGTTCTATTATGCTGGACACTCAGATGATCTCTAGCTCCTTTGTGAACACACTGGTTACGAGGGGTCTGAATTCCTTTCTTGAATCTATTCAAACTGTCACTCACACTGGGGAACCCATCAGGGAGACCACCTTGTATGATGGCTGCCTAGAGCCCAGGGAACTGTCAAGATGACTTTGGGAGACATCTCACCTTTTAAAAGCCCCATTTTTCTTTTACATTTTTTGTTTTGTTTTCTCATGAATTTTCCCAACCACAGTGAAGTAAAATCTATTATAGTGTCCTGGAATGGTAGGAAAAAGATGGTAGGGAAAAGATGTCATGGTACACCCGGGGGGTGGTTGAGGAGAATTTAAGGAAGGTACTTTTTTAAAAGATGTGGGAAGGGTTAAAGGAAACTTCTGTGAGCCATTACCAGCCCCATTCCTGAAGGGGCAAGGGCAGTGTGACTGGTACAGAACCAGAGAGAACTATAGGAGAGGACCGCAGGATTGGAGTAATGGTTTCCAGATAAAGAATATAGCCATTGCTAACAGAGCTGGCCCTCGTGGGCATGGGGGGGGGGGTCCTGAATACTATCCTGCCTTGCGATCTCCTGCAGATGCCTCCCATTGGCCAAAACCAAGTGAAAGTCATAGAACAACTAATACAGTCCATAAGGGTCAGCCCTGAGTCCCAGAGCAAGGTGGAGAGTGGATCTGGAGAGACAGAAGAAAAACCAGCAGTCACATTCTATCTTTTCCCACAGCTAGCACCTTGGTTCAGGCCTCGCTCTTTCTTGCCTGGCCTAGGGAAGTAACAGCCTCCCTGCCTGTCCTCCTGACCCATTAGGACCATTGCTTTTATGACCAGGTCTGTTTCCAAGAGACTATATTCATTCAGTAGGGGATTGGGGTATATAAACCTGAGTTCAGGAAACAGCTCTGCAATGTCAAGACCCCTCCATCAGAGACTTCCTCGGTAAAATGTCAGGTGGACTTGGGGATGCCCAAAGCCTTTCCCCAACCACGATTTACGGACGCTAGACATATTTAGACATATTTTTAAATATCGAGGCATCGACTTGCGACTTTTAAACACAAACAGACCGCTTGAAATGGACTGAAGCTGCCTCCCTGCCCCTTCCAGAAGACCACGTCACCCTGGCTGACAATCGATTGCCTCAATCCTGTTGTCTCCAAGGGCGTAGGCTAAAAGGGTCCCGGGCAGGCAGTTTCCTGGAGCCTTAGACCCTCCCATCACGCGGGTAGGGGGAAGTCGCTCAGCTCAGGCACAAATCCTGGGCGTCCCTGGCGGTCTTCGACGCTGGCCGGGGCAGCGCTGGGGGGGCGGGCAGCAGAGAGCGCAGGCGCAGTGTCCGCACTCGCGGCTCCACCTCCACGCCCCGCCTGGCCGCCTCAGCAGCTCTGGCCGCGTTTTTCCTGGCGAAGCGCACGGCGGCCACAGTCGGCGTAGAGGCTGGACTAGGCGCGCGGTAGCGGGCGTTCCCGGCCGCGGAGCGCCGCGCGCATCTTCCTCGCCGTGACACACAGGTAACCGGGCCCCGGAGTCAGGCGGCAGCGGCAGACTGGCACCTTGACGCTGCCTGCCGGGCCGCCCCACCCGAAAGGAGTGAGAGCCGACTCCGAACCCCACACAGCCACTTTTAGCCGTGGCACCTAAGGGGCAGAGCCCCTCTTTTGGGGTTGGGCGGGGCCCGGGACGAAGCACCCCGCCCCCTTCACAAACCTTCGTAGGGGGCTCTGTTGGACGTCAGAAGGGCCGCCGTCCCCGCAGTTCCCTACACTGCTTTCCTGGAGAACCGGGACACTGGGTCAGCGGGGTTAGCATCAACTAGGGGCCCTGCGCTCCCGTTTTCTGCCACCGTAGCACCTATAGGCCTTTCCCCAGCCTCCATAATGAAGGCTAGGGTTGTTGCTTTCCTCTGGCCCAGGAGCTCACCCAAACAAGGGTGAGTCCCTGCAGCGTTATGAGAACGGTTTCAAATCCAAACTTTAAAAATTGCTGGTTTTAGAAACAGCCAAGAATTAGTATTTTTTCTTTCTTATGTCTATGACTCTTGTACGCCAGTCTATATGGGTTGAGATTTTCATGGAGAATAAATGCTTTGTAGAAATTTTTCTCCGACGAAAGCCGAGAGCAAGGAGTAGTGGTGGAAGGGCGGGTTGTTGCCGGGTGTGCTGGCTAGAGGCGCAGGACAAGTCCACTCAGCTTCCCCAGGCCTGGGGAGGGAAACAGGAACCCTCCCTGACCGGTCTCTGGGCGCTGAAGAGTTCTACACTGAGCCCCTTTGGCCTCTTATGGGAGGAGGAAGGGGATGGAAGGGTCGCGCGGGCCAGCTGGAGGGAGACTCGTGTTGGGGCTAGTGGGGCCCTGCATCTCCGTCCGTTCTTTCGCCGGGCTTGGCGAAGAGCGAGATGGAAAGATTGCGTCCGAGTAACGACTGAGGGTCCGGAGATAGCACTGGGTGGAGAGGGCTGGGGGCGGCTTGAGAGAGGCAGTTTCCGAGGGCAATTCCTCCTGAAATGATTTTGATTGGGGTTGCCCGTGTCCTTGGTGCTGAAATAAGTGCCTAAAGCGCCTTCGTAGGTTCACTTCCCCGGCTGGGGCCTGCCTTGCCCTTCTACTCTTGCACCTTTGGCCAAAAATGGGCCATCTCCAAAGCAGGTGCCAGAATGGAGCCTGCCAGACGCTGAAAACCTTTGTAGATGGGTTAGGTGCTAGTTTACTGAAGATAAGGTGAAGGAAAATGTAGCTCTCCTTGGGGGTGCAAATAAAGCATATATATAACAGGTTTGATTACCTACATGCAAGTACTCACGGTGAGAAACATGAACGCTCACGTATGCATCTGTAGGATACATGCATGTGTATATGCACACAAATATAATCTACATGTAAATACACTCATCCGTTTTCAATACCATCATGTGCTACAAGTTACATTTTTTTCCAGAACTTTTTTGTAATTCATCTTTTTATTTTTTTGGACACCTCTGGTTTTTCTGAACTCTTCAGAACCATTCATTTTATCGCTTCTCGGCCTTTTGGCTAAGATCAACTGTAGAACCATTCATTTTCACAATCATCTGTTCGAAAGCCACAGAACCTGTGGATTAAAGTGTTTGGAATTATGCTGAGCAATTAAGTGCTTATACATATTTTAACTCCAGACAAAGATAGTTTAGAAAGAGGCAAAATTTATCTTGATACAAAAAAATGTTCTCAAGGAAGTTTAAATAGAAAGAATTAATGAAAAATTTAATAGAGAACAATATGTAGATAACAATCTTATAGAAAGTTATAATCTGAAGAAAATACGACTAAGATATATCATAATGCCAGTAGTTTCAAATGTACTGGTGGTATATGGTTTGTGGACTCCTTAAAGATTACATATGTATTTTTCAAAACATTAATATCTATGGCTTTTCTCTCATAAAGTGTATGCTCATCGTAAGAAATTTAGGTAATAGAGGAATGCATAAAGCCAGAGAAAACCATTGTAAACAGATTTTCTTTTAGGGGAACATACATTCATTTTAAATGGATTGATCTTGCATTTGCATTATATAATTTATCATTAATGTCCTTATTAAGGGTTGCATAATATTGCACTACATGGATAGAACATAATTTATTTAAACAATACCATAATAATGAACATTTATGTATTTCCAGTTTTTTGCTATTACAGACAAATCTGCAAATAACATATTTGAACAAATATTTGTGCACTTGTTTCATTGTATTCTTAGAACAAATTCCTAGAAGTGAAACTGTCAGTTCAATGGGTAGGTACATTTTAAACATAAGTATTAATGAAATATTTATTGGAAGAACACTATTTCCAGATTGTGCTACAGAAAATGTGTACCAATATATACCACTATAAATACTGAATTAGAATGTCAGTGTCCTTATACTATCACGAAAATTAGGTTATTAGATTCTATCAGTCTTTTAAAAGTATTTTCCAATTGGATAGGCAAAAAATAACATATTTTCATATATATATATTGGTCATACTTATCTCTTCTTTTGTGACTTTCCAGCCTTATTTTCTTTTGGTGTGCCTATATTGTTTCTTATTTGCAGGAGCTCTTTGTATAGTAAGGACTTCGTTACATATGTTGCAATTTTTTCTTGATTTTTTTATTTTTAAACTTTATGGTATTTTATGCTGTGTAGAAAGAAAATTTCAATTTTTATGTAGTCAAATATATATATGTATTTTTTTCTTCAGTTTCTGGCATTTATTTCAGTATTTCACCCCTCTATATTGAAAGATAATCTACCATATTTTATGGTTTTATAAAAGATTATATTTTAAACTCTAGGTTATACTCCCATCTTCCCTTTTAGTAAATTCATTGCTAGATGTAACATTCCACTGAAGATCGCGTTGTAAGAAGCAGTTATTTATTTTTAACTCAGATTTACAGAGGCTTGTCCTCTATGAGAGGTTACACGTTACTCATTTTGAACCCTTTAACATGATATATTTAATTTCTAAATAATGAATGTGTTTTTTCTTAAAATGCTGTATAGTCTGTAGTATTCTTAAACTAGTTAGTATGTAATCTTTTTAAAAAGGAGCTATTCTTTTTGTAGAGTATTTTTTTGTATAGAGAAAATATGACAAAAGTTCACTTTTTAGCCAAATTAGGAATTCATGTCATTGAAGTTCATTAAGAATGTGCACACAAAAGGTTGGTCAAATACCTTAAAGAGAACAAAAAACCCCATACTATTTTTTTGTATCCGTTATGGATCAAAGTAACTTTTTCCACAAAAATAAAAGAATGGTTATTGGGGTATTAATGAGCTCTTCTATAGTATTTTCTTCCTGTGGTTTAAAAACATTTTAGAACAGCCAAATGGGAATCATTTTATTGTTTTTATATAATAAATTCTAAAATATAACGGATTATACAAAAATGGGATCAATACCAGAGTAGAAAATAAAATCCTCTAGTAGGCCATTCTCCACAGCTAACCATGAATATTAGTTTGGAATAAACACTTTCAGATTATTGGGGCCCCTGGTGGCTCAGTTAGTTAAGCGTCTGCCTTTAGCTCAGGTCATGATCTCTAGGTTCTGGGATGAAGCCCCGCCTGGGGTTTTCTGCTCATCAGGGAGTCTGCTTCTCCCTCTTCCTCTGCCCCCTCACCGCTCATGCACACGTGTTCTCTCTCTCTCTCAAATAAATACAATCTTTTAAAAAAAAACCTTCCAGATTATTAAATTCATAAATAAAGACACATTTCATTGAATGTAAGATGTTGTCAATTATAAGATACATTTTAAGTTTAGAAATGTGAAAAACTGTGCATCTTAAATTTGGTGTATCATAAATAGAATCATATTGTATCTATTTTTCTGTTATTTTTTCCACAGAAGACATAACTATCTTCCCATCTGACACATGGAAGTATTGAATTAATCAACATCCCATTTAAGTACAGATTCTTTACAACTTTTTAATAATAAAAACAATGCCGTATTGAACATTCTTTTAATATATTTCTGTGTGATGGTATTATTTCCTTAGATTAAAGTCCTAAACGAAATTGGTAGATTAGGGAGAACGCACACTTTGCATTTTGGCACATGTTGTGTGTTCTCCAAAATTCCTGTAAAAATTTTCCCTGCAGAAAAGAGCGCTTGATTCTTTTTTTTTTAAATTTTTTATTGTTATGTTAATCACCATATATTACATCATTAGTTTTTGGTGCAGTGTTCCATGATTCATTGTTCATAACACCCAGTGCTCCATGCAGAACGTGCCCTCCTCAATACCCATCACCAGGATAACCCATCCCCCTCCCCCCTCCCCTCTAGAACCCTCAGTTTGTTTTTCAGAGTCCATCATCTCTCATGGTTCGTCTCCCCCTCTGACATACTCCCCTTTTCTTCCTCTCCTGTTATCTTCTTCTTTTTCTTTTTTCTTAAAATATGTTGCGTTATTTGTTTCAGAAGTACAGATCTGTGATTCAACAGTCTTGCACAATTCACAGTGCTCACCGTAGCACATACCCTCCCCAATGTCTATCACCCAGCCACCC